AAACACACTTGAATGTGTCTGGAAGGTTTTCTTATGGGGACCACATGCTGGAAGTATGTGGGGATATGTTTCAGAAAAAAATGAAAGATGTGTTTGTGATGACCTCCATTAAAATATATAGGGCCTATTGCTGTCTGATTTATTGTGCCATTTCCTAAACACAAGATAAGTAGCTGCTATAAAGTTTTGGTGTTGACCTTCTCATAATGGTAGATATCTTTTCTGTTTTTTTAACCTTCCAATCTATAGCAATGAGAAATGTCCAAATACCTCCTGAGCTAATTAATAAGCCCCTTTCTGCTCTGAGGCTGTTAAGAAGAAAATTTCACAGGAGTCTGTTATGAACACCTGAACTTGATGTTGGTAAGGAGAGCAGTTATCTTCCCTTCTTCTCCTATTTTTACCAGCATAGAAAACATGCCCTTTCACCTCAGATCGAACGCTGCTATTATAACATTGCAATATTGCTGATTAATTTTCTTTCTCTGCTTAACTGTATCCAGGTTTAGCATCTGGAAGTTTCCATCAAATCATCAATTAACATCCCATCAAATGCAACCGAAAATCAAAGCAAACCCCAAAACACATTATGCACGGAGTCAACACCCTTATCTTCCACATCAGTTTTCCTGTGAAAAGAGTGGGAATTTACACACAGCATTTGTGTCTCTCTCTCGTTTTAGGGCTCTACTATCACCCCACAAACTATTCTTTAGACATGAACCTTTTGAAGGCTAACACACAAGGATGGATTAATTTATCAGAGCAGCAAATTCCATAGAGATTTTTTTTTTTAAGTTAGTCCCCTTTGCTTGCAAGAGAGCAGGAGGTACTGAGGGGACAGCAACATAGGTGTGAAAAATGAATTCAACCACAGGCAAGACAACAGGGAAGAACTAAGATGTGTAACTTCATTTATTAAATTGAATAAGATACAGAATTTTTTCTTCCTCAATAAGAAATTTTGATTAGCAAAACTACATATTATAAGATGATGATCTTTTAATGGAAAATGTAACCAGCCAATTTCTTTTCATCGGAAAAAAAAAAAAAATAAGTGATTTTTACCTACAAAGCAATCAGAAGTTTACAACCTTACTTTTCTACTTTACCAAACCATTTTTATGAGCTGGATTTTGCTGGGGGTAGGAGTGGTCTCCTGGTGGGTATTTTTTTCAGCATAGGGTGATTAACATATATAGGTCACCACATCAGATGTAGAAATCCTACAACAACACACTACTTCAGAAATAATGCACTGGATTCAAAGACTACACAGAACTGTACACAAAGTACTCCATTAACAGCAGGTGCTGTACAAAAAAGCTCTCTTTAAAAGAGCTTTTAATTACTGTATATCTTTGTTTAGAAGCCACCTTCAACTACTTTTTCCTTGAGAGCTGCAGGGGAAAGCAATTAAATGTATGAGAAAGCACCCTCAGTTTAAAGCTGCAGAAGGAAGCAATTAGCGTAACAGAAGTCTTACCTTGTACACAAAGAAATACGGTATGTGAAGTCACCAGAGGCTGGGCATTACTTTGACATAATTAATATATATTTTAAATTTTAAACTCTGTGACTACTGAAAGTTGAAAGTCATAGCTGGCTGCATGGCCCATGTTTATTCCCATGTCAACAGAGTTGTAATTTTCACACAAAATCACATTTATATCTCTCAGCTGTAAAATTCACACCTCCTTTAAATTCCCTTTACATTGGTGAAGGGTCTCAATACAGCTGTGTGAGCCCCTTTGCTTCCGAGGGGCAGGAAGGCACAGGGGCTTATTTATTTGAAGTAAGGTCATTTAGATAGATCTGGTTACAAAGAAAGACTTTACAAGAGGAGGAATGGGATCTTTCTGATCTCATTTGGTATTTGCCAAGTTTACAAGTCTTGACTTTAATGTGGGGACTAATCTCATACTAGGCTAAAATCCCTTCTTCAACCCTTTTCCCACTACAATATAGCAGCGTCTATTTAGACATAGTGCAAAAAGGGATTTTGAAGGTTTGGTGTATTGGTGTTTTGTTTTTTTTTCAAAGAAATAGGAATTTACAAAATTATTTCAGTGTTTTTAGGAGCTAATCCTTGATGGTCAATGACACAAAAGCTTGTGAAGAAAAAAAACCACAAAACAGTCGATATGAACTCCATTGAAGTTAAAGGCAAAAATATTCCTGATTAAAACAAGACCAGAAAATGCATCACACGATGGGGTTTTGGAAAAGGTACAAAGGTTAATTAGATAGTTTCTGTTGCATTATATAGTAAGAAAACACCATTAATTACTGCTTCTTTAATTTAACCGATTCATTAAAACCTGACTATAGAATCACAAAGAAAGTGTCATCTTTCCCATAGTACCCAACTTCTACAGCCAAAGCCAATGACCCTTAATCAAAATTAGGTTTTAACAGCGACACTGAATGGTTAATAGCAATGTACAGCATCACTAAAACCCTAAAATGAATGAAGCTTCCAGTCAAGTCAATCAGACTCCGCTCTTCTAAACACCTCAGTGTTTGTTCTTGTGTTTTCATGTGTCCTGTGTTACAGGAGAAAAGGTTGATATTAACAGCTTACTTTACAACTATTTTTATTTCAAGTTAATAGCACAAGAAAGGTGATTCTATAAATGTTTGATTTTATGAGCTCTTGTGCATTTTCTCAACCAATTAGTCAAATTGCCTTCTTGACTCTACCTCTTTGCTAAATCTAGCTTTTTTAGTTTTTGTTATTTAGTGCAATACCGTATTCCATTAAAGGCAAAGTTTAATTATTTGTCTTTTGAAGGTCTGAGTGCCTTGCTTAAAATGCCAAGTGCATTAAAAACAGACCACCCTTGACTTTTGCAAGGAGATATAGAAGGATAATAAGTTAGTTGGATTTAGCGGAGTTTTGAAATTGAGCACGTATGTGTATGTGTGCATGAGGATACCAAAATAAGGATTAAATGCTGTCAAGTCATCAAGAATACTTTTTTTTTGTTTCCTTTTACCATTTTTTCCTTCTTAACAAGGAGCAAAACCAAGGAAAGTCTTGTGGCTAAAACAAAAGGCAGGGAGTCAAGAGACACTGAACTTGGACAAAAAACATGTACTGAAACATTTTACTAGCATAAAAAAGCTACACAAGTGTAAAAGGAAGCAAATTTTAGGGAAAATATGCTGCATTTTTGTTGTGACTACTTGGGGAATCTGCCATCGCACCTCTTCCGTGTTATGTTTGTCATCTTTATATATTTGTATTTCCATTTTGAAGGTAAGTCTCTATGTTGTATTTCCCCTCTATACTGAGACAGAACCCACTAGGGACAGTGAAAATTCTTGTAGGCAGCATGAGTCTACTAAGAAGTCTTGGTGTTCTTTGCAGAGAGGTGGTTCTTGGCTATGCCAATTTAAACCTCATCTCTGGAATGGGGGAGATTTCTTCCATCTGTAGAAATGGCTTCAGGCAGTCATCCCTTAAAAGGGTCTGGAGGCTTTAGAAGAGATGAAAAACAACTTTAAAGTTGACTGTTGTACCAATTTACCATGGCTGGCTGTTCACGAACAGGAGCCTTATGAGGGCTCTAGGGCAGACCCTACACCTCGAGCCCTGTTGTGCAACTCCTGGTGGTAGGGGGTCATCAGAGCACCTTCAACGAGTGAAGGCTGCAGAAGGGATGATGGCAGAGTAGCAATTAGTTTCTGCAGAGTTTTTAAAAATCTATTTAGAAGCCAATTGTCTATGACAGGCATGTTCAGCCTGCATGTGTCTCTTCCTGTCTAAATGGCAAACTTCGAGTAAAACAGAGATTAATTTAATTAAGTTTAAGCATTTCAGCTTTTTATTTTATGGTTACACACATAAGTAGAGCAATAACTGAATACAAATGTTGCATATTTACTGTGGCATGATCCAAGCAATTACTACTAAAGTATTAAGGAAAAGCATCATTTCACTCTTTTAATTTTATTTTATAATTAGGTGGGAACCATATTTTGGTGAATACATTTATAGTTAGAAGTTATAGATTATGCTTCTCTTTGTTTTGGTACGATGATTTTAGCCCTGTTACTAAAAGCCTGTTAGCAACAATTAAAATAGCTATAAAAAGGCGTTTATAGCTTTTGTACTTGTTTTTCTTGTTAGCTTTCATCAAATATTTCACACTCATATGATGTATGCAGCCTGCTAATAGTTGCTAGCACAGACCTTCAAAAATGGTTTTAGACATCTGGTTAAAAACATAGCTTTTTATGTACTGTGATTGTTAGTTCACCCCTTTTACATGAGTGTTATGCCAGTTGTTCATTATCCTTCTGACTTCTGTTAGTTTTTGTTCTCAAAAATAATTTGAAAAAGTTTAGAAGGAGAACTTAAAAGCAGAGCAAAAACAATGCTGGCAACTTTTTTAAGTGCCAGAGTTTTAACTGCCTACTGTTGAAATGCTTTCCTAGTTTTTCCATTCAAACAAACGTTTTTGTACACAATATTACAGGAAGGGCTGAATGCACGCAGGCAAAGTGCAGCATGGCGAATGGCTGTGTATATTCTACATATACCATACTGCTAAAATTAATCTGTTCAGGTTAGTTTCCAGTCTGAGCAGAGCTGAGAAACACAGCCACCGGTCTCTGTCACGTGCTGCGTCGTATCAATTAAAAATAAATTAAATTTCACGCAAAGAACCCAACTTAAAAATCCCAGCAAACAACAACAGAACCTTTCCACTAATGATTTTCAGTCATCAGAAGTGGAGAGAGACTCAGACAGCAGACAGCATGGTCCCAGCATGCTTTTTGCCTTTTTTTTTGTTTGCACAGTAGCTGTCAGTTGCAGCCCTGCAGGTAGTAGAACCCAGTGGGAAGAGGGGCGGGACAGAGCGATGCTGCCTGAACTGACAGCAAATTTAAATTACTGAGCTTTCTTTTTCTTTTTTTTTTTTTTTTTTTTTTTGCGTGCCTTTTTTTTTTTTTTTTTTTTGGTATTTTTCTACTCTGCGACAAACTGAAAAGATTCTAGCACACGCTAATTTAACAACCCTGCTTCGTCGTCTTCTTTTTTTTTTTTTCCCCTTCTGCTTCCAGGATAATTAAAAGAGAAACCTGTAAAGGCAACATTCCTTCAAGCAAGTTGGTGCTGCAACGTGCTGGTAAGACGAATTTAATTTATTTTTTTCGCTTCCCCATCTTTTCTTTTCCTTTTTTGGAGCTGAAAGCTTTTGTATATCTAACGCAGTCATAAGTGTGGTTCCCCTGCTGTGGAGGGTTAGGATGTAATGAAAAGGTGTAACTGCTTGATATGTGACCTTCTCCTATTACTTAAAATGGATAATAACAGCTTTCGTGTCTGTCCTCATGATGCTTTTCTCTCTGTGAATTGACTATTTGCTCAACAGAAGCGGTGCTGTGATTGTCGCACTATGACAATGAGGACTTGATTGTTTTTTGGTTACTGTTCCATGCTCCTATCAGAAAAGATACTTGAGTTGGGGGGTTTGTGCGTGTGATTTATTTTTTTTTTTCCCCCGAACGTTGCCTGAAGCACTGATACGATGGGGGTGGAGATGGGGGTGGAGGAGATGGTCTTGGGTATCATTCTGTCTTTTCAGCTGTTTACTAGGCAGGGAAGTGCAACGCTGAAACTTTTTAAAAAAATAAATACATGTTTTTCTGCTTGCATCGAGTGGGGTCAGTGTATCCAGGATTTATTGTTGTCCAGTGCTGGGTAAAGTTCTTGCTGTCCCTTGCATTGTTCTTCTGAAGAAGGGGGGAAGGGATGTTCCACTTCATCTCTTGTCATACCATTGTAGTAGCTAATTGCAAGAAGCTGACAAACTTTGAGACAAAATACCAAGCGTTGCTTTTGTAAAGAATGAGTTTGATGCTGTGGATAGTTTCCCACAAATACAAGCCTACCAGATATGATCAGATCTGTATTATACATCTTGCAGCTCCTGCCTTGCAAGTCCCCTGATTTCCAAGGTCTGCTTTCCAGTCTTTTTTCTGACACTAATATGTTGTTACTTTATGATTTATTTTTTTAGAAAATGGGATGTGTTTTGCTTTTGCTTTGTGTTTACCCTTGTAAAACTTATAAGGTGATGTTTTTTTCTCAGGATTTCTGGGTGTAATTCTGCCAAGTATTAAATGCTACAACACCTACTGAAATCAACAGGAAGGCTGAGCTTGTCCTGTATTTAAGAGGAAATTGCTGAGTACTAACAGAACTGGATCTTATGACTGCTGAACTCTCTCTCTTTTCCTAACTGCAATTAGTTGTTGCTACACTTAAGACTGGATCATGTAGGCTTGTACTGAAATATTTAGAATACATTCTACTCTTCCAGTTACTTGTTCCCAGGTTTGTGGCCATGCTGAGGAAAACTTTTTGAACATAAGTTGGTATTTTTCAGAGAAATCTAAAGGAGTTAGAAAGCCAGTGTGATATAGCCCTCCTTGAAAGCTGTTTTCCTTATTTTATTTTTTTTTTTTAAAGGTGTCTTGAAATTAATCATCTGCAGATTGATATGTCAGATTTTCCAGACTCTACTATTTTGGCAAATGCATAATGTGATCACAGAAGCAAAGTTGTGCAAGGAGATGGGAGCTGAGGAGCAGTCAGGGATTAAACACAGACTCCCTGTCGTGTCCCTGGAGAGAAGGAGAGGATGTGCCAATGCCATATGGGAAATCACGTTCTTTCACAGCAACTTTGTTAGGGCACAGGTTTCAGGGCGCTACACTTGTAGAAGTTCATCACTCCCTGATTCGGCCTCAATTTCAAGCCTTGCAATACTTTTCTGAAGGTTTACTTCGCTTGTGCAGAAAATGTTGGTGTCTGGTGAAATGAGGTCGCTGTAGCTCCCACATCTTGCTTTTGCCCTGACAACTTGCCTCCCCCCAGCAACATCAAGGTCTGCAAGGCCCAGAAAATTAGGCTTTGTCCCTTGTAATCCTAAACTCCCATCCATTTATAACCAGAGAAGAAAAGGATTGAATTCAGTGTTCTTGTTATGGAAATAAGTTTTTATTCACTCAGTATCAACTGACAGTTAGAAGCGTATCTGATGTAATATGAATAAACTGTAGGCTGTCGACAGTAAATTATGCAGCTATAGTCTCACATTCTCCTAGAAACAGTGCTTTTACAATGCTCAAGTGGCCTAATGGGGTGAAACAACTACCAATACTCTCATTTGAGTTTCCTAATCACCCACAGCCATGAGAAGTCCATGGTGGTTGATTCCCACTGCCCATGGTGGGAATCTCAGCAATGGGCAAGCTGCATGGAGTAGAGCCTGAACGCAGCCAGGGGTGTTCAGTCATAGAGGTGATGTCAAACTTACCGTTATAAGGCAACATGAAAACATAGTACAGTCAAGTCTAGATACAAGGGTCTGGGGACAAAAATTTGTTCCTGAAGTCCTAAAGTACCTTTAAAAAAAACCCACCACCCTAACCCAGTCTACCAACCTAATTTCTCTTTTAATTTGATCTTTAAATATATATATTTTTAATTAATCTGTGTACTTTAAATTGCTGCTGGCTTCTAGCAATGCTCTCTTCTACCCAGTGCTTGGAAATTTCTAGTTGAATGGAATTGCTTTCATTGTAACAAAAAAAAAGCAAGCCAGAAAACTTGCTGTAATTTCCTGTCAGTAACACAGAAATAAGAAAACACTAGGCTAATAAAAATGATAATCTGAGTTTACAACTGTTAACAAGATTCCTGAATAGAAATGGTGCTATTATGCACAAAGAACTTCTATCATCACTAGAGGAATGCAGTATAAAATTATGAGTTTTATTATTAGGGCCCTGTCATCCAATCAGAAATCAACCCATAATCTTACTTGTGAAATGTCATAAATTTTGGCATCTTCCCTCCCTGCTTATTAATAAAATATTAAAGAAATTTTATAATTAGGAACTTTGATAACATAGCTATGAATTTTCTTTACAGGAAAAAGCTCGCATACTTCTGTGTTTCTTCCACGTCTTCAACTCTCCATATAAAGTCACTGCAAGTCTGAGTTGCACACAGCAGGTAGAATTGGGGTAAATCCCAGACTTGCCATGGGCAATAACAATGGGATTTCATCAGTTTCTTTCTCCTGAGAGAGGTCAGATTCTCCAACTTTTCTCAGGACTCTGCAGAAGTACTTAAGAATGTGCCATAGCACGTCTTTCCCTGAATGGGATTATTTATTAGCATTACATTTCTGGTCAGCTGTATCATAAAGTCAGCACAAAATGCTTAGATTTTAACCTCTCAGGATTTTTTTTTTTCATTCTAGTAATAAAAGACTTTTACATTTCTCTTCTAACTGCAAATGATTTACAGCATTATAAGGGGCTTTCTGTGTTTCCATCTGATTTAACAAATTAGCTGTGGTCCTCTTTCAGCAAGAACCACTCTTGAAGCTCTGCATCACCAAATGAAGCAAGACCACTCTACCTGGCTCAGAGTGGTCCGAAGCTGCTGATCCTCCCCCACCAGCTGTTTGATAACAGACTGCGCCACATTCCTTCCACAAGCCTGGCAGCTAGTCATGTGTCCTTCATCTCCTGGTGTTCTGTGGACTCCGTGGGACTTCTAACTCTGTCTAGAGGATTGAAAACCCTAAAAATAATTTAATACCTCCTAATTACTTTCATCATTCCCAAGGCAATAGAGAACACCGCATTTACCAGGTCACTAGATATGAATTAGGAGTATAAATAAATATTTTATACCATTAAGGTAAACAGTAAAATATTAGCAAGCCTGAAAGAAAGCGAAAAGAGAAGTAGAGCCCTGGAGATCTCAGTTCTAGACAATAACTATCACACAAAGTCCTCCTTGGTTGCTTTGCATCTCCATGTCCTGTGAGGCTGATAACTTAGCTCCCATCCTAAAGCTGATGTGCTCCAAGTGCTATTGAAGCCACATCTTTCCTGCTCCTGGTGTTGAAGACAATATCGTGTTGCTTGGGGAAGGCAAAACAGGGGTAGCAAGCCAAAAGATCTGCATATCTATTTTTTTAATTTGCTTTCTCAAACTGGGACCTCCAGCTGCATCTATATCCCCCATGTAAGTGTCTCTGTTCATAACACTTGGACACAAGAGGTAGGATTCATCTCATTGAAATTTAGGTACTTATGCTGTAGACACCTACATCTGAGCTAACCACCTCCGGGTCCCATTACAGTCAGGAAACAAGCAAGCTTTCAGGAAGTGATTTATCTGACCTATTTTCAAAGTCTATTTTCTTTGAATCCCACTGAAGGACATCTCGTTCAAGACTCAGATCATTTAACTGCCTCTTCTCCTCAAATTTTCTTAATTAAGCGTACTGTTGCATTGCTTAATTTAGGCATCTTTTCCTCAGCTGCTTGGCTTCTCTTGTAACTTCATGAAGACAGAGGACTTGAAACTCTGTAAATTACATATGTTGAAGAACAGTTATAGTAATATTGACTTACTGAGCCTCATATACCTGGCAGTGGGCTTAAAACTAGGCTAATCATAGTGAAATTAGGACTGGATTGCGTAGACAGAGTAATGTCATTCACATATTTCATTAGTCCTAAAGGGCTGCTGGGGGGATGAAGTCACAAGCGCATGTCAGGCTTTGTGTTTAATGTGCAATTAATCTTGTTTCTCATGGTTACTTTTATTAAGCTGAGCTGATCTAGTGCAAGGAGGTGCTGTGATTGGTTTATTTGTTCTACTTTACAGACTAGTGGCATTTAAATTTACGCCACAATGCTTTAAAAAAATCTAAAAGTCAGGAAACTCCATGAGTACGACGAAGTCTACCTAATTTAGGCACCAGCATTTTAATGAGCTGATGCTCCTGATAGAAGTTCCCTTACCCAGAGGAAGCTACGTGCATTTGAAAGCTTCCAGACAGACAATTTGGCTTCTAAATTTGTACAGCTCAGGCTGCATTTACGGTGCTAAAAGTGTCTGTTGCAGAGAGGTCCCTGGCTCTCAAGTATTACAGTATGCCTCACCTCCACGTCTCACCTGGCCATCTGTGGAGGGGCTCATTGTGTCCTCTTGGCTCTGTGCTTGGCACCAGGCATTTGCTTTTATGTCCTACTAGCTGGCATGGAGGGTTGTGGGTGATGCTATTGGCCTCACAGCCCACTTGAATAGAAAGTT